TGCACTCGGCTTCGGACGAGGTGAAGGCGGGAGGATTTATAAGGAGTCTTCGAGCAGGGCCTTGTCGAACTTCCCTGGCGAAGACCCCTGCTCGATCATATGAGGATGTTTTGAAGAGGTGCAGGAAGTACAGTAATTTGGAGGAGATGGAGATGGAGTTTGCAAAGTTGGAAGGAGTGGCTCGACCAGAGCCAAAAAAGGAAAAAAGCCCGCAAAGGGGAAGATCGCCGAGGAGAAATTCGCCCAAAATGAGTGGACAGAAGAGGGAATCACCCCGAAGAGAGAGTCGAGACTCGAAAAAAGAGAAAAGAGACGAGTGGCAGAGGAGGCCGATGTTGTTCGAAAGGCAGAGATACTACACTTTCATGCCCTTGAGGAAAGATATGACAGAGATCCTCGAGGCCATGGAGCAGAAGATGCCGAGTGAGGATGTGACCTGGCCGAAGACAAGTTTTACAGGCCCGATTCGACCTAGGTCAGACATTTACTGCCATTTTCACCGAGATTACGGTCATACCACGGAGAACTGTAGACATTTGAAAGATGAGATCGAGAGGTTGATTCGAGTGGGATATTTGAAATAATTTGTGTATCATGATAGGGTGAAAGGGAAAGGAAGGAGAAGGTGCAGGGAGGATTCTAAAGAAAGGAGTAATAAAGATGAGGAAGGAGATGACGTAGATGGTCGAGATGGTCGAGGAAAGAAGCCGAGGGGAGATGGTGATAAGGGAGGGCACAGAGGAGAAGCCCCGATGAAGAGAGGGACGATTTACATGATTTTCGGAGGGCCAACAGATGGTGACTTGAATAGGGCCAGAAAGGAGCATGCTCCAGCTGTGAAGAGGAAGAGAGATGAGGTGGGGATTACGGCTCGCATGTCGGTGATAAGTTTCAAAGCGGAAGACGCCGAGTGGGTGGTCCTACCGCACAATGATACTTTGGTGATAACTGCGGAGGTTGCAGGCTTTGACGTGAAAACAGTGTTTATTGATACCGGGAGTTCGGTGGACGTGATGTTCTATGACTGTTTTGTGCAAATTAGCAAGGAGTTAAATATGGAGTTGAAACCGGTGACCACGGAACTTTATGGCTTTAATGGAGGAGAGGTGATGCCGATGGGCGAGGTGAGTTTGCGAGTGGCGCTGGGAGTGGGAGAACTGAGGAAGGTGCGGATGGTGAGGTTTGTGGTCGTTGGAGCCGAATCATCTTATAACATCATTATGGGGCGAACGAGTTTGAACGCGTTCCAGGCGGTCGTATCCACGTACCACATGACGATCAAGTATCCTGTGGGCGAAAATGTAGGAGAGATCGCCGGGGATTAACTCACTTCGAGGAGCTACTACCAAACAACGGTGAGCAATAACAAGCAACTGGCGAAGAGGCAGGCCAATCCAAAAGAGGAGGAGATCAGTCGACCAGGTGGGTCAAGGTCAAAAGAGGATAGGCAAAGAATGGAGAAGGGTAAGGAGAAGATGGATATCCAACCAGGGGGTGAAGTGGTGGAGATTCAAATGATCGAGGCGTGTGAGGAGAGGAAATTCAGAATCGGGAAGGACCTGGAGGAGCCTATTCGGTCGAGGCTGATCGATCTTGTTAGGGAGTTCGCTGACATTTTTGCCTATACAACGGAGGAGTTAACGGGGATAAGTGCGGAGGTGATCGAGCACCGGCTGAATATCGACCTCAGTGTGAGGCTGGTGAAGCAGAAAAGAAGGCACCATGGCGTGGAGATGGACAAAATCATTGAGAAGGAGGTCGAGAAGCTATTGGGAGCAGCGCACATCAAGGAGATCCAATTCCACGAATGGTTGTCAAATACAGTAATGGTGTCGAAGGTGGAAGGAAAATGGAGGATGTGCATTGATTTCCGTGATCTGAACAAAGCATGCCCAAAAGACTTATATCCACTGCCCAGAATCGACCAGCTGGTTGACTCAACAGCGGGGTGCGAATTACTGAGCTTGATGGATGCCTCCCAAGGATATCATCAAATTCCCTTGGCGAGAGAAGACAGGAAGCGGGTTAGTTTTGTGACGAGTCGAGGAACCTATTATTACGTCGTCATGCCGTTCGGCCTAAAGAATGCAGGCGCCACGTATCAGAGGTTGGTCGATAAAATCTTCAAGGAACAGCTGGGAAGGAACATGGAGGTGTATGTGGACGATATGTTGGTGAAGAGCAAGGAGGAGTTGGACCATGTGCGAGACTTGAAAGAAACGTTCTCAACATTGCAGAGGTATGGGATGAAATTGAATCCAGCTAAGTGCTCTTTTGGGGGTGAGATCGGGAAAATTCTAGGGTTACCTGGTGACCAAGAGAGGTATTGAAGTGAATCCTGAGAAGGTTCGAGCCGTAATGGAGATGAAGCCGCTGACGAATGTTAAGGAAGTGCAGATCTTAGCTGGTCGAATTGCGGGGCTGAGTCGTATCATATCGAAGGTGGCGGAGAGAAGTGGCCAGTTATTCAAAACTGAAGAAGAGTGCAAAATTTCAATGGACGGAGGAGGCGCAGAGGGCATTTGAGTTGCAAGGGGTGTTAGCCAACCTTCCCCTATTGGCTAAACCCCTATAGGGCGAGGAGTTGGTGCTATACATTTCTATTGGAAAGAGGGTTGTGAGTTCGGTGTTGTTACGGGAGGAAGGGGTAGCGCAATTTCCTATCTACTATGTGAGTAGGGTGATGCAGGGGGCAGAGATGAGGTATTCGGAGATCGAGAAGTGTGCTTTGGCTGTGGTCGTAACGGCACAAAAGTTGAGACCTTATTTCTTGAACCATAAAGTGAAGGTGCAAACAAACATGCCGCTGGGGGAAATGCTTGGCCGACCATCGGTCTCTGGTCGATTGGTAAAATGGGCGGTTGAGTTGAGTGAGTATTCTTTGTTGTATGAGCCGAGGAGGGCCATAAAGGCGCAAGTGTTGGCCGACTTTATCCAGGAAGGCACGAAAGTCGAGGAGGAGTCAGGAGGAATATTGCAGTTGTTTGTGGATGGATCTGTGGCACGAAGTGGGGCAGGATTGGGAATTGTCCTTGTCTCCCCTAAGGGCGATTTCTTGGAATTTGCGGCTAAAGTGGGGTTCAAGGTATCCAACAATGAGGCCGAGTATAAGGCAGTGATCAAAGGCTTGAGTTTAGCCAAAGCGGGAGGGGCTCGAAAATTGCAAGTGCATTCTGATTCTCAGCTGGTGGTTGGGCAATTTCAGGAAGGCTTTGAAGTCAAGGAGGACCGGATGCAAAAGTATGTGAATGAGATGAGGAAGTTGAGAGAGGAGTTCGACTCATTCGAGCTGATACAAATCCCTCGAGGAGAAAATGGTCGGGGGGACCTACTATCGAAAATCGCTCAGAACTTGGTGGATTGTTAGAGTAGAAGTGTCACCTTATTGCATCTCGAAAAGAGTGTGGTCGAAGCGAAAGTGGCGGAGATTGAGGAAGTGGAGGATTGGAGAGCCCCGAACTTGAAGGAGCTGGAAGAGGGAACGATAAAGGCGGCGAAGAGGTTTTTTGAACATGG